CCACAGACTCCTGGACCCACAGACTCCTGGACCCACAGACTCCTGGAGTTCTCTTCAGGGAACAGAAACAAGAGAAGATCAAACACCTGAACCTGAGACGTTCGTTTTATCAACCACTGATTCTTCTTTCATTTAAACTCATTAAACCCATTCTTTGAGTATATACGTACAAAATACTTGTAGTAAAAGTACACACCACCAACTAAAACGTGTATTTCTCTACATGTCGTCAGAATTTGGTCTCCGATTAAACCTCGTCTGAAGTTTGAATGTTATCAACCATTTTAGTCTGTCAAGAAGGAATCATTTTGTTTAATAAACATTTATTTAACGTTAAAACTTCATGTATACAGATTATTAGTTACGACTTAATAAACATTTATTTAATGTTAAAACTTCATGTATACAGATTATTATTTATGACTTAATAAACATTTATATAATGTTAAAACTTCATGTATACAGATTATTAGTTACGACTTAATAAACATTTATTTAATGTTAAAACTTCATGTATACAGATTATTATTTATGACTTAATAAACATTTATTTAATGTTAAAACTTCATGTATACAGATTATTAGTTACGATTTAATAAACATTTATTTAACGTTAAAACTTCATGTATACAGATTATTATTTATGACTTAATAAACATTTATTTAACGTTAAAACTTCATGTATACAGATTATTAGTTACGACTTAATAAACATTTATTTAACGTTAAAACTTCATGTATACAGATTATTAGTTACGATTTAATAAACATTTATTTAATGTTAAAACTTCATGTATACAGATTATTAGTTACGACTTAATAAACATTTATTTAAATGTTAAAACTTCCCGTATACAGATTATTATTTCTAAGTTAATCTGTTCGTCCCTGACGTATTCACATCACTGTGGAAACAGTTTTTTCCTCACTGGTAAACCAAAACATGTACGTGTTTTTGACGCTGCTCTCTTCCATGGATGCACTTCTGGATGCAACCTGAGCTCGAACCTGCAGCCTCAGGATCACAAGACCACGATACTGACCGCTGAGCTACCGCGGCAGCCCACACAGAGTAGCGTCTGTAAGAGTGCGTGTCCTGTTCTGCTGCTGCAGAGCAATAAAAACCTGAGGTGCGTCTTCAGAAACAGTCCTTTGAAATGGACCTTTTCTCTGCTGGGAAATCCCAACATATAATGCTTGGCATCAATGTGAAGCTTGAGGGTTCTTTTTAAATATACAGCTGGAATGTCAGATAACATCACTCCAGACTTTTTACAGGGGACAAATCAACAAATAAATAAACGGAGCTTCTGCGATGGATCAGAAAATAACTCCACAATTAAACAACCGTAGTTTAGATACGTTTCCTGATTTCTTACATTTATAGTTTCATTGCTACTTTTCTTGTTCTAAGCGGTGGATGTTTGAGAATATGTTTTTATGTGATAAATAAAAATGTTAAAACTATCTAGGGGGTATCTTAGGAGGGGGTTTCTGGATCCGGTGGCCCTCAGCCAGCCCACGTCTTTACCCCCGGCTCGAACCTCCCTCAGAAGTGACAACTCATGCTAACAAATAAATCAAGGAAACGTCAATTAAGTTTTATCAATTAAGTTAAAAAGGCAGGAGAAGATTACAGTTCACAGCGCTGGACTCTATTCAGTCTGTGACGCCACAGACCCGGAAGAAGAGCCCCGATGTCTCGTGTCATTATTAATTTATAGGGCCCTAGACTCCGCCTTTCGCAGAAGGGGAGCTCAGCCTATCAGTGATTGAGGGGGCGTGGCTAAGTGTGGTCTTCTGTGGACTGACGTGTTAGGAAATATGAAATGTGCTTCAAAGCCTTTCTACATGATGTGGCAAGCAGATTAAACTATTCCTTGACTGATATTGAAATCCCTGGGAGACTCTCTTTAGAGTTGCTGGCCCAGTTTAACCCAGTCAGAACCGGGTCATAATTTCATTATAATCCCGTCTCTGAGCAGATCAAAACCATAGGACCAGTCTAAATAAGAAATATCGCAACACTTTTGAAGCCAGCACAGTTCAAGATGGCCACCACAGCCACTTGACATTAGACAACAAAACTAGCTGTGACTCGGTCCATTTTAGAGATGCTGAGCTACAATTTGACACGGTGGTAGCTGAGAGTCATCTCCAACATGTCATCTGACTGAGCTGCCACCCAGTTTTCAAAAGTGACCTTCATACACCAAGATGAAGCCAAACCCCAAAACAGAAGTTGGAACGTTTGTTATTTTTCCAGCTCAAAAAACGAACTGGAGAGTTCTCACATCCGTTGTTGAATAATTCAGTTTCCTCATTTTTGTTTAGCGAGTTCTGCGATGGAGTTTAAATTAAAGTTGTCTGCTCTTCAGATAAATATAAATAGTGTTGATTGTTTTTATATGTGAATGTTTCTGTTCAGTGCCCTGACACTTCTGTTGTGATTCAGCGCTGTCTAAATAAAATAAAACTGAAACGCCATTACACAAATAAACTAACTCGTTGCTTTTGTTGACTCAAGATTCATCTCAGCTGGCAGATGGGGGGGCATTAATCTGCTTTAAATCCCTTACAGAGGGTCTTCGATGACTAATCTGTCCACAAAACTCAGCTCCTGATAAACTCTCAGACTGATGGTCAATAAAAACAGGAGTCCATCAGGGCGGGACACGTGAGGCGCAGGTGAAGGAACGACAGAAACGGGTCAAACCAAAGATGTTGCACAAAACGAGTGCGTTTTCTCAAACTGAACGATCAGACGTGTGGAGGGAGTCACAAAAACAGAAAGGAGGACATGTTCAGGATTTAGGGATTAAGTTATGACAAATAATCCCATTAAGAGCCCCAAGGAGCGCAGGGGACACGGAATAAATAAAACTATGTTAAATAAAAACGCAGTTCTGCAGCAGATGCACAGTTTTTATGTCATTTATTGATTGAAAACACCAAATATTCTGAGGAGATTCACTAAATTTCCTTCTAATCCACTCTGGAATTAAAGAAACAGAAGGATTAAAACTTTTTCTTTTTATAATGTAGAGTTTTAAGAAAGACTTGATATTAATTTTGTGCAGGTTTTTATTTTAAAAGGAACAAACTGTGGGACTCATGCACAAAAAATCATATTAAACTGAGCACCAAAAACAGCTGCAGTAGTAAAAGTAAATAAAAAAGTACATTTTAATGAATGTGGGATAATGAACTGTTACTTTCTAACCAACAATCTTTATTTATAGTTGTATTTTAATGCATATGTTCTAGGGGTTTAACGACTACATATTTATAAAAGTCGACTTTAGGCACCTTAAGAGCCGAGACTACCCGACTAGTCGGTGTTGTTGGGAAAGGGGGGAACCAGCCGCAGAACGGCAAACGGTCGACTAGTCGACTAGTTTAGTTACCTGTTCAACCTCTATGTCCAAGTATTCAGGTTATTACTTGAAATAAATCTTCAAAACGCTACTTTATCAACTTAATCCATATTCATCACTATATATATTTTTATTTTAAACGAGTCTAGGACAGCAAAGCAACAAGTTATATAGCTGAAAATACATTTTAACTCAATGAATCTACTGTTTTTACTGTATAAACACGCCTAATGTTATAGTAAAAAAAGGAAAATATGGAGTTTGGGATTAATAATCCCTCCTTTCACATAAACAAAAAGCCCTTAAAATAATGAAGTAAATTCAGGACGTGTAGAGAATAAGTGCATAAAAACATTCCTTACATTTTAGGTATGTTGACACAAAATGGCAGAAACCTTTAAGAGGTTAAAACAAATAAAAATACTTGTAAGACCCACCCCTGTCACCATGACACTCTCACAACAAACCACCGACTGCGAGTTTACTCAAGCTCTTATTTGACAATTAAAACCAACAAAACTCTAACTTACCTGCAGTTTTGTTGGTTTTGAATGACCCGAGTTATCCCGAGATAACGGTCACTAACGGCAGGCTAGCTTAAACAGCGAAGTGTAACTTTAAGTTACTTATATTTACCAGCGCTCACGCTTCACGTACGTTTATAAAAGAGTTGAAAGACCCCGCATTGAGCGTTATTTATGTAACGAAATGTTAGTACCTTGTTTTAAATGATGTTACGCCGCGTCTTTTATCAAGATAGAACGATGTCGATGTTTAGAAGGCTAATTATCAGTCTTCACGAGCGTGGAACTGATTTAGCTGATAGACGTGCGAGTTAGATTAGTGGGTTAAATTTCGCCCCGAGTGCAGCGTGGCAGGCGTTTCTTTTGAATATTCCACCCTAGATACTGGTCTTTCATCGTCTTTAAATGCCAACACTGTTTACTAAATATATTTTAGAAACTTCTCCCAGCATTTAATGAAATCAAGTGTATTTTTTTCCGAGTTGTGATACCTGACAGACATTACTCGGGACTAAATTAGCCATTTTACTTACCAGCGCTTCGAGACAAACTCTGAGCGGTGATTGGTTGTTGTGTTAATCAGGGGCGGGGCGTGATTTGGCGGAAGGATGTAGTTTTATATATTAGCCACAAGATGGCGGAGTAGCACGTTTTTATGAGGCTTTTTTTTTTACTTTCTGAATGTCGCCATTAACGACATCCATGACAATTTTAAAATTTATTTATTGTGCGTTTGTTTGAAATAAAATAAATGAACAAAACACAGAGTATATGTTGTGATGTGCACTGTGATACAACAAACGAACAGCAGAGTGACCAAGAAGCAAACCTGGCAACTTTAAAATTATATTTATCATCAAAAGGCTTCATAATGCTCGAGCTCTGAAACAAACTACCACAGTAGTCCATTTTTTAAAACATATAAATAACATTAAATCCATTTCTAAACTGAGCATTCTTACCAGTTGAGTTAAAATGACTCCCCAACATCTAAATCAGATTTATCATCTTGTAACGGCGTTTGGAACAAAACCGTTCAAACTGGGCCTGAATGACGGATTGAATTAAATCAATCAAGTGGACTTTGTCAAAATAAAACCTCATTTACTTTAATTAGATGTGATGGGTTGAGAAAAAGCTTTAAAAAAGAACAGCGAGAAGCTTCAAGCTCCGTTTGATTGTAAAGTTTTCAGCCTTAAAGGGATAGTTCAGATCTTTCTGTGGGATTTTGTGCAAAACTAACAAACTAAGCCGTCAGGTCTTCACAACAATAATGATCGTGACATCGTTACATCATTTCCAGCTGTTGTCATGTTTTTCAGCTCTGGATAAATTTTATGGTGAGACATGGAGCAGGAACGGGTCTTGATCGTGGAGGTGGTGGACCGACGGTTAGTTTCAAACTGTGTTTAAAGAAACAAAATGATGCGTCAGAGGAGGATCCTGGGAAGAGGAACACAGATGAGAGCGAACAGCCGATAAAAGCCGAAGCTCCTCTCAGAGAAACGCCTGATAAAGTCAAAAGGCGGCGGCTTTATGAGGCTGACATTTACAGGAAGGCCGCGGTTCACGGTGGAGCAGTGGTCACTGCGGGTCGGCGCCGAGGCCAGCGCCTCTGATTGATGAGACTGTCAGCGGACGCCATCGTCCCTCTCCATCATCCCTCCGTCCTGGACGAGCCGACCCGTCGGCACGTAGAACCAGACGTGCTCCTTGAACAAATCCTCCGTGACCAGACAGGATGATCCTCCCGGTACGTCTGAACATCCCGACACACGACGGTGAATTGAAGCCAGGGGGTGGCCCGAGGTGGCCACAGCCCACATACATTAATCTGTGGCCACTCGGGTCATCCGAAGAACTAAACTTTGAAGAAAAATAAAACTAGAAAGCAAAGATTCCTCATATGATTGAGGTGGCCAGTTTACACACACCAGGTGAATACACATTTGTGGTGGCAGCCATCTTGGATTTTGATGTGGCGACCCAGTTTTCGACGGGGGACGGCGCTGGAACTGTGTGCCACAAGTCAGATCAGTCAGTAATTGTAGCTGTTTTTGGTCTGTGTAGTGGCTAAAACAGCTGACGTTATTTACGTACCAACTTGTAAACTTTGTTTTCAGCTAACTTAACCGTTCAAAATTCAAACTGTTCGGCTCATTCCAGCTAAGACTTTTTAAACTTCAGATCTTTAGCTCCTTCACAAATTTGCTTCATGCGGTCTCCCTACGTTTTATTTTTAGCTTTCACTAGCGTTTAGCTACTTTTAATTTTTACCTAACATTTTGTTATTTTCACTTTTTATCTATTTATTATTCCCAGCTAACAGTTGGCTACTTTTAGCTTTTACAAAGAATTGTGTACATTTAGCTTTTAAATACAATTTTGGGACTTCTACCTTTGAGCTAAAGTTTTGCCGCTTTTAGCTTTAAGCAAACATTTTCATACTTTGAGCTAAAAGCTAGAATTTTGCTATTTTTAGCTTAGCTGTATTTTGCTACCTTAAGCATTTTTGCTACTTTTTGCAGCTGGCTACCATGTTCTACTTAAGGCATTTATTTTATGTTTATTGTGCTTTTAGCAACGTTTAGCCTTTAGATAATAATTTAGAATGAGCTAGCATGTTGCTACATTTTTGCTCCTTTTAGCTACTGTTATGGTTTTGAGTGTAAAAAACTCGAGCCGTCCACAGAGAATCATTTTGTTTTTATTTCGAAGGCTGTACCTCGCTGCTCATCTCTTTAAAAACTGACGAAGCACGAATCATTAACGAGAACACAATTAGCGCTTCGGTTAAATTAACATTTTTAAAAGAGATCGGTGAAGTCCCGGGCGTCATCGCTGCACCGAGCGAAGCTCCAGAAAACCCAGACCGGATGAAAATAATAAAAAGCTAAAATCTGACAGAACAGAACGATCATGTTATGAGTTGAGAAACTCGCAGCTGAAGGACGTTTGATGTAAAAGATCATCTGTAACCACCGGGGAGTAAATAAAAGTAATTAATTAACCTTTGACCTTAACTCGTAATAAAAACCAATAATTCCAGTCGTCACGTTGATCAACAGCTGAAAATGATGAGGACATAATGCAGCGTTTCACTTTTATGAGTTTTTCTCAAGTTTTTTAAGGGAACACTCTGCTAATTTTAGCTTAGCTACTGTTATGCTAGTTTTAGCTTCTACGATTTAGCTCGTTTTAGTTTTTTAATCAACAATTGTGCAAATTTGCTTCAACTCTTTTCCTCATTTAGACACTGGGCTAATCTTTTGCTAACTTTAAGCTAAACATTTGCATATTTTAGCTTTTATCTATAGTTTCTTTTAACTTTAACCACTGAATAGTGCTAACTTTTCAGGTGCATTTTTGTTCATTTTAGTTTTGTCTACTGTCTGGCTAAGTGTAGCTTTTAGCTACTTTTCTGGTCAATTTTAGCTTGTAGCCAATGGCTTGTCAATTTTAGCTTTTAGCCACTGGTTTGTACATTTTAGCTTTTAGCCACTGGTTTGTACATTTTAGCTTTTAGCCACTGGTTTGTCAATTTTAGCTTGTTTGTAAATTTTAGCTTGTAGCCAATGGTTTATCCATTTTAGCTTGTAGCCACTGGCTTATCCATTTTAGCTTGTAGCCACTGGTTTATCCATTTTAGCTTGTA